GTCTTTACTGAAAGGGTTTAGGGTTTTAAGAATGCTCACTGCAATGCCCGAGAACACCACGAACCCTGCAGTCTTGGCAACGGACAAATCCTTATCGCTGCCGGAGCTTTCATCGCCGTTACCGGAAGCCGCGAGTGGGTTCGACATGGAAGCTTCTTCAACTACTGAGAGAGTTTGATATTTCTTGTCCGGATTTGGGATTTGGGATTCAGACAAGAAACTACGCGTCGTTATCTGGTTTTTATCGAGAGGGTTTCTAAATTGCAGTTTACGCGTGAGCTCACGCGTTCATAGATCCCTTTCTCGGGCGCCTGTAACTGGGAGGGAAAATCATCTGAATTCTTCCCAAAACGAATCGTTTAAAGCAGGGTGTTTATTTTTTTTTTCCCCCATTTTTAGATATTCCAATTTTTTGTTATTATCATATAAATGTATATATTAACAATAATATATTTGAATAAATTTTAGAAATGTAAATTAAAATATTATAAACTAAATTAATTTATTAAAATAGTTATTAAACATGTGATAATTAAAAATAACATCATTTATAATTTATTAATTAAAATGGCACACAAAAATAATTAAATTAATGATATAACAATAATATATTTATATTAACTGAATCATATTAATTTTTGGATACATCTAATTATATTAGTTAAATACATAATTTAAAATTACTAAACTGAAAATTTTTAAGAATGACATACAATGTATATATTAATGATATATTACTTAAATATCTATACATATATACAATGTATATATATAATTAAATTAATCAAAATAATAAAAAGATACATGCATCTAATTACTTAATTAATTAATTGTACAAATAATTAATAATGTTTTAATAATGTGATTAATTATATATATGTTTATTTCAAAAAAATCATATATTATTTACATGCATACACAAGATACAATGCATTTATAATCACATTAATTAAATTATTTAATTTAGCAAGATTAAATGTTTATGTAATGCTCAATTAATTTTTATGTAATTTTAAATTTATTTATAAATATAATTTTTTATTTTTTTATTTTAATTTAATGTAAAAAAATGAATGAAATTAGGTGAGGGATGAAATTGAAAACAATTTTGAAAAAAATGAATGAAATTTTAGATTCTGAGAGTATTTTTAAAAGAAAAATCTGAAATTGATGGTCAAAACGAAATTCAAGAAAATTGTACAACGTACGATGCCCAGTCAGCAGCCCCGATGAACCAGAACGCGCTGCGTGGCAAGGGACATTGACGTGGTGCCACGCAGGAGGCCAGGCGGACAATCCGCGTGTTTGCGATCGAATGGCCCAGATCCGCTCCCGCACGCATGGACAGCCCGGATGCGTCCCCTCCCCATACGTGATTGGACGGTTAGATTTAAACGCGATCAACGGTCCAGATCTACTTCTTATTTAATCGCGATCGGACAGTCCGGATCAAACGCGATGAGCGGTCAAGATTAAAAGGGAACGGATATCAGTAACTATCTTCACACTAAACCCTAACCCTAGTCGTCAGACACCCTCACTGGAGAAGAAGACTCAACCGCCGGGAAGGAGAGCCGTCGCCACCGCCACCACGCCGGAGCCATTTCCAATCTCCAAAAAAGGTAAAAATTTTCTCTTTTGTTCGAAATTCAATTTTAAACACTTTTATAGCTAAATCGGAGCCAAAAGACTGGCGGATTGACCGAAAACCACAGACAAATTCCAGCAAAGCTGCCGCAGGAAATTATAAAAAACATATCTGATGAGTCCCTTCCCGATTCCCGTTATGCGTAATTCATTCATCATTGTAACCATCGTTTCCTCATCTACAGATTGACCGAAGTAAAACATCCAACTGCAAAGGTGAGCAGGCGGAGTCGTCGCATCAGAGAACTCCGCCGCCGGTGAGTTTCGATTTTTTATTTTTTTCCGGTCAACTGAGGTCCCTTAATGTATTTTATCGCAGGGATTGATGTAAAATTGACCGAAAATAGCTGACCTGAGACAAACCAACATCGCCGGAGCACAGCGGAACTACTGTGCCGGAATTTTGAAATTGGCCAAAAAGAGGTCATGACACCAATTTGAGATTTTTGGGATATTTGTAGGTACTTATAGTGCGTTTTAATTTCTGAAAAAAATTCAGGGAACTCAGGGACCGCCAGTAGGCGCAGTCAACAAATTTAGCTTTTCGGGCATCAATTTTAGTAAGAATCTCTCACCTTATTCTCTGTTATGGAACTGAAGTCAAATTAACAATAATACGATGTTTGTACAATTTAGAAAATATCCATAATTAATTACGGGTTACTAACGGAGTCAGAACAAAAAATTATTCACTGTTGATTCTGTTTATTGATTTTACATTTTAAATGCATGATAATATCTGATTGATCGATTTTATAGTTTTAAATGCATGTATTGTTTGTTTTATGTGATTACGGTTGAATTGGAAAACTGAAGATTAAGTAAACAGGGAACTGCGTTATTAAGTAAATAGATGAAACA